AGCAGGGGGATGGAGTGGGGGGGGCAGTTTTTGGGCACTCGGTCTCTAAAAGGTTTGCCATCACTGACTTAGGTGCTTCATAATGCCTTTTCAATTGAAAGAACAAGATGCAATCAAAAGGAAGGGGAGGTTGAGTGAAATTTAAGCAGGATTTAACTGAAAGGATGGCTGTTGGAATATTAGGCAGTATTTTTTTTCATAGCAATTAGTATTAGATTGACTAGTTATTCCTTTAGTGTTTCGAATGATGTGTCATAATACTTTTCCACTTTGTACTGAAGTATATATAGACTTGGGTTTAAATCTTTGATTTGACTTTGAGTCTTATAGACTTCATTATATAATACCAAAACATTGAAAGATGTATAGTTCATATTTATTTCTTTTAAGGTTGTGCAATGAATGATGTTACTCCTTAATATTTAAGTTACTGGTATTCATATTTTTAACTGATTTTGCCACTATTGCATAAGCACGAGATTTTGTCTTCTAGCAAATCCAGCAAGTTTTTTGTTTTTCTTTTGAATGGAAAAGATTACTGGCCCATCTTACTTCTTTGCACAAAAGAGGAAGGTTGAAATCGAACATTTCGGTGTGACTGAATGTGTGCTTAGTTTGCTTCGTTGAATGATGTGAATGGAAGAAATTCAGTTTTTGGAATTCTAACTATATCTCATCATTTTTGTTTTGTGTTTCTATTTCTTTTCAGGTCTGTACACAATGAGCTGGAGAAACACAGGTACACTTGAGGAATATTGTTGTAATTGGTTTTTTTTTTTTTTAGGCTCCTCTCTCCCACATTTTATTGGCTGGGGAGGAAGGATGGACTAATTTCTGCCTGGTCCTAGTTATATTAATAACTAGGAGCCCCAATTCCTCCATCAATTTTGAGAGTTAGTTTAGGCTCCAGGGTTATCATTTAAAAATGTTTTTCTTTTTCTGAACCAGGAAATGACCTTTCGGTGTTCTTTCTTCCATTTATGTGCAAGGACTTCCCTTACCCATTTCTCAATATTTCATACTATTCATATGTACATTTAAGCTGTTTACCAAGTTAATAATTTTCTAGCTTACACATCATACCATAAATTAAACAGGCTGAATTTGCATAACAAACTGAGAACCAACCAGTGTATGAGACTACTTAGCACTGGTCAAACTTAGTTTTGAGAATATGCATCTTCTTGGTCTTTATCTTGCCCTGGTAGAGATATTTTAATGAATTCAGCCCAATGAATTCATGCTCTTTGTAATTTTTCCCCATTTGTTTATTTTTCCTAAATATTTTTAAGTATGTATACATTTCAGGCTTCCTTAAGTGCAGATAGCTGGTTCTCTATTAGCCCGTTAGTACTGCTGTTCTCATTTCAGGTCAATGAAACTGAACTGGGAATACAGCTGATGGTAGATAGCATTTTCTATGTATGTATTTTCAAGCTGAAATGCAGTCCAAGATCATTAGCTGTTTGTTTGTCTCTTTCATACACAACATCTCAGTGACTTGAGTTACTTATGTTCTTATTAGCAAGGGAGCATAAAAGATTCAGATTCCATGGTATACACTATTATACCTAGTAAGACAGCGATTCTTAGATTTTCAATACTGTAATTCTATAAAATGATAAATTAATGTAGGTAATCTATCCACCCAATAAAATTACTGTGATTAGCAGATGGCTAAACCCATTGGTTTAGTTTCTTACATGCCTGAGCATGTAAGAACCTATCTCCTCTGAGTTGATTTTACCCAAAAAGTGGTGAGTCAATATGCAAATCCCTGAATTAAGAAATGATTGAGGCCGGCCATATATTAATTATTCACTCCTTGGAAAATGTGGTTCTGCCTTGGTCTGGGGTCTAGAATTCAGTTAAGGCTTTACCTAAAATGTGATTGTCCACAATCTGCATTTCTTCCCAGCAGAAGGGCCCAGCTACGACAGTGTTTAGAACAGTTGAAGCAGCAAATCCCCACAAATACAGAGCATTCTCATTACACAATGCTTAGTCTCCTGCATCGAGCCAGATTGCACATTAAAGTAAGTAATGTATCTCACTTCTTCCAGGAGGCTGTTATATTGGGGATAGCTAAAGACTGCCTTTCTTGACTGGTTTAGTTGTTGGTAATTTGCAAATGGTATTAAGGTTTCAAATTTTAATATTTTATTTATTAGAAATAACTCATGGTCTTTAAAACTGAACATAGAAAAAAAGTTTAATCAAGTCAATAAGTGGAAATGAATATAGAAGGAAAAACCTATTTGTCATCAGAGAAATTGTCTAGAATGTATAAAGGAACTTCGAATCTTTGTTGGAAATGTGAACAATACAAAGGGGCATTTTATATAGTGGACGTGTAAAAAAATGGATACAAATAAATTAATTCAAAAGATTTTAAAGACAAGCGTACAACCAAAATCAAACTTTCTGGTTTGGGATTAATGGGTAGCATTAATCAACAATCAGCGTGTTCAAAAAAATTCAAAAGAGGAAAAATTTGACACTGCCCACAGTGAAGGAATGGTTGGTGAAGATGACGGGACTTGCAGAGATGGCTAAATTGACTTCCTTGATTAAAGATATCTATATTTATGGCCAACTGGAAACCCCTCCAGACTTTGAAATGGAAAAAAATGTACCTATGACATAGTTTTAATGATTTGAAAAAAAAAATGAATAGAAAAAGTGAGTAAGATAATTATGTTACATTACATTTCTGCTGCAAAGAAAATCAAGCTTTTTTTTCTGCACCCTTTTGTTTCCTTTATTTTGCATTAGTTTTTATTATCTCTTTTAAACTTAAACTTTTAATAAAATTTGAATAAAAAGAGAAAAATTTCTGACAGCCTTCAAGTAAGTTTAAGAACCAAGGAAAATAAAGGGAGAAATCTAAATCCAGCCAAGAATAACTTTTTATAATTTTTTCAGTTTTGTGTTTAGGATGGACTACTTAGCAAATGCTTCCAGCTGAATTTGAGAAAGTGGTGGTATTATTTTGTTTCCAACAGTGGCCAGTGTGATGTTACTAAGAGATATGAAATAAAAGCATCTCAATTGTAACTCCGAATATTATTCTCGATCCTTCTTTCACTCCCAGAAGCTGGAACACCAGGAACAGAAAGCTCAACAAGAGAAAGAGAGGCTACGTTGTGAGCAGCAGAATCTGCACCAGCGCTTAGAAGAATTGCAAGCCCATCTGAATATGGAACTGGCAGAAGCAGATAGCCTGGATTCTTCTCAGTTCTCCTCTGAGCATTCTGACTCAGGTGGGCAATGCCCGGTAATTAATTCTAGTGCTACATCTTCATGATGCCAACAAGTTGTGCAGCAAAAAATGCAGGGTCTGATAAGCAGAAAGTCACTGGCTACAGTGTTAATGATAAAAGTTATGGTAAATTTGGAGATTACCTAGAGTGAGGATGACTGAGCCAGGTCTATATAGGCCACATGGCTCCCAAGCAATTCTGGCCAGCCTACAACTAAAAAACAACATTAAAACAAAAAAAAGGGAGGGAGGCTTCCCACAAGGATGGAGGCTTATGAAATCTCAGAGCAGGGGAGATCATTCTAGAGGGCAAGAATTGCAACAGTATGTGTGCTTCCTGGGTCCTGCAAGATGACTATAATTGACAGGATCCAGAATATACCTTCCTGCTGGACTGAACTGGACAGGGAGAGACAACAGGAAATAAGCAGTTCCTAGGAAAGTTGGTTATGCCTATGTTGAAAAGGAAGCTTGTATAAAAGATACTGCATTCCATTTGAATAAAGCATTATTATGCTAAGTTTTTTTTCCTGTTGCAGAAGATGAAGTGGACATAGAAGGCGTGGCATCTGCCAGCATTGGAGATGTCATGGCTGCTTTCAGTACTCAGCAGGAACGGAGCTATTCCACTGTCAGCAACTTCTGGTTATGGACAGAAGTTCAGTTAAGAGGACAGCATTCATCTAGACAAGCTTCAAGCTTTTCAAAAATTGCTTCGTGGCAGGATAACTGATACATGGTTTATAAGACTGTTTTCTGTAAGTAAAGAGGAACCCCCTTTCTTATAAAAAAGGGACTATGCACCTCCTCATGAAACCAAGTTTTGCATCTCCACCTTTTTCACAAAACCAACTAGGGCAATTGTTAAGAGAGTTACATACTGAAGCTGGCTAACTTTACATGGTAACATGTGATGGCAGGAGGAAGAAGAGTGAGATTTTAAAACACTTGACATGCAATTGGTATGAGTAGCTGCATCTTACGCCCCGTCCTAGTTAAGGTTTGTGGAGCAGGCAAGTCCATTTTGCAGAGACTTTGGCTGGTAAGACACCCACACACACACACCCCGCTGGCATTTTAAACAAAAGATACACTTAGCTTTTATCTAAAGGGATCTAAAAAATCCATTATCACAACAGGCAAATGCTATGCTCAGTTCTTTTATATGAAATGGGTCTTGCTGTTGAATGGATTGTGGAATAATAGTAAAGCTTTGCTTCAAGAGACTTTTTGCCATTGCAAATCTAGCTTTTGCTGACCTATTAAGTGACCCACTTTAAGTATTATTTAGTGGGTTTTTGATAAGTTGTAACCTAAGCACAGTAATCTGTAACATTTATTCACCAATAGCTACCAATTCTCTGAAGTCTCATATACAAA